AAAATATGGTTCACAATAGAATTAAAAGGGAATAACGTAAGCCAATTGTTATGATCTTAAAGGTAAGCTTATCTATAATGACCAGGCTCTACATATACTAATAAATTTACAAGCATACAAATTTAAAAGATAAAATATAATAACAGGTCTACAAACTGAAAACTACAGACAGAATAAAAAGAATGAACAAGTTAAATTAATAAATGCACTATTCAGCCATTCTCGTAAGAAGTGAATATCAAGAAAATAACAAGAATGTAAAGGAATATTCGAAATCTCGTTCCTTAGTTTACTGATGCCACCTCTACATTCGCAATTCAAATGTAATCAAAATTGGGTCGGGCCAAACTAACTCGGTTTCTATCTTAAATAATATATACTTCTCTTCGAAATATTCAAACTCAAATACGTTAGCTGGAAATTGAAACACCTAAAGTCCTCTAAAAATAATTGAAGATAAAATCGGTTGTATACAATAAAAACTTACCAGACTAAGCCATAGGCACCATGGCCAGCCACCTGCAAGTTTGTGTATCTAGTTGGTATAATCCAGGTGGCTTGGTTAAGCTCAATTGAGAAGTAGCCAGGTTTTAGAATTGGAGCTTTTCGTCGTTTGAACAAATGCGACAATGAAAAGCGATCGGACCGATGTGGATAAGGATGGCGAGGTTCGTCGGATAATCGAACGCGGGCAATACCATGGTTGTTTAATGAAGTAGGAGCAATGATAGGAGCGATTGATAAACATGGAACATGTGAAGGGGAGTCGGATGAGTGAGAGGAGGGGGGAGCCGGAGAAGAAGAGGATAAGGTTGAGACAAATTTTGCAAGGCGAGAAGAAATTCGAGTGGATGTGGGCGTCACCAAAGGCTGACCGTTGAAAGAGATCTTGGAATTAACTGGACGAGAAAAGCAAGAGAAGATGCTAGCCATAAAAGTTCTCTGAGGTGACAACCATTTCACGGAGCAAATAGTAAATTCCAACTGAATTCCAGTAGGAAAGTGACGTGGCCCAAAGTGAAAATATTAAGATTTAGTCCAAGGCCAGAAGTGGATTTAAACAAGGCCGAGATATATCTTTAACCTAGAGATTGGGTAGATTGCAGGCAACAAATGAGTAGGTGGGATGCAGAGCAACCATCTGAGATAAAAGGACCAATCAGAATAGATATATTGATCAAATGAAAGCAAAGCAAATAAACAATCCAAAAATGAAAGAATCTTTGAAGGAGTAATA